CTGCGCCCTGGGCGCGCGCCCCCTGCCCAAGCCGCCCGCTCGTCCTGTGTCGCGTGGCCTTCGGTCCAGTGGCGGAGGCTGGCTCTCCCCGCCCCCGGGAGCAGGAGGGCAGCACACTCGCCTCGCGTGGCGTTTCTCCCACTCGGGACAGGTTCACGGGGCTGATCAACTTGCGCGCAGCAGCAGCACTTTAAAGGAATAAACAAACAAGGCCGCGGCGTTTCGGTGTCTTTTCTCCCCCCACTCGGAAATTAGTAACATCATTAGCCACCAGTAAATATATCAGTGGGATTAATGGACTGCATCACAAAGCGACTTGATTGGGTTTAAAGCCACATTATTGCTTTGGGGTGAATTAGTAAATTTAGCACTGTCGCGAGATGATGGATGGGGGACTCGGGGGCTGGGACTTCGTATTGATCCCCAGGACGGATGGGCAGGGGGCGGCTGGAATTGCCTCCCGCACGCGGTTTGCGGAAAGGCCGCGTGGCCTCTCTACTCACGCGGCTGCTCAGGAGCACAGCTTCCTCTCCGGGGCCCCGGGCACCTGTCCACCTATGGCAGGCGGTGACCAAGATCACCTCCAGCGACCCTCAGCCCTCAGTATTCACGTCCTTGTATAAGAATCCCTTCTCCTGAGCACAGACCAAAACAAGCGGCTTGCTTGTCGCACACAGAGCAGGAAGCAGAAGCAATGAGATGTCACCTCTGAGTTGGGTCCTAAAGGGACCATGGCTTTTCTCCCAGGCGCGCTCTCACCCTCTCTCGGGCTGTTTGCTCCAGGGCAGGCTGCCCTGCAGAGACACCCATGGGGGTGAGCCCGAAAGGGGACCTTCCTGCAGGTGAGCTTGGAGATGGCTGCAGGCCAGGCGACACCTGGGTTGCAGTCTCAGGCAAGACCCTGAGCCAGAACCCCTCGGCTAAGCTGCCCCAGACTGCAGAGCCACAGGAACCAGCTGTGAGACAACTGTCTACTGTTCTAAGTCATTAAGTTCGGGGTAATTTGTTACGCAGCAACAGACACCTAATGCACACGGCTGCTAAATGTGAGTGGAAACAACGTGCGTCATTTCGGAGCAGAAGCTTCAAGAGCGAGGGGGCCACTTGCCGCAGTCTGGTTTCCTGCTTTGGCAACTGTGCAGCTGGGGTCAGAGGAAACTTCTGTGACCACGATGAGCCAAGTCTCACCCTTCCCAGCACCACCAACCTGCACTGGGCATGCAGTGTGATGAGAAATCAACTGGTTGTGTAGACCGGGGGCCTGTTTGTTAGCGCGGCATAACCGAGCCCATCCTGACCGCCCCGCCGGTCAACGTGCGCAAAGGAATCGGGGGCCTGGAGCAATCTGAGAAATACACTTGCTCTTCCTGCTAAAAACACAAAAGCTACTGTTGGGACAGTTTTGAGGACACGGTACGCTCCCTCTGAAGGCCCCCACAGCAGTGTCTTACAGGAAAGATTTTCAAATATTCCATCTCATTAAGCACAAGCAGAACACGTGTCACAACTTTTCGTTTAAAAAGTACAGTCCCCGTGCAGGTTAAAGGACCCACATTCGGCGAGCACGGGCACCCCGGGCATTTCTACACCCAGCCTCCCGCTCAACTCTGCGTGGAAGCTGTGACTCCACTGCCATTTATTTACCGACGAGGGGTAAAAATCAATGACAGGGACTTAGTCAGCCTCCACGTGGATCCTGGCAGAGCGCAGACTCGAGTCCAGGCCCCCTGAGCCCACAGCTCATGCTCCTTCCTTCTGATCTCGGGCGGGCGACCAGCTACACCACAGAGATGCACACAGTGAGGCCGCCGCTTAGTAGGAAGGTCTCAGAGCCCGCAGGCTGACAGGTCCTTTAGGAGGCGGGGAGGAAAGGCTTGCGGGTGGCGTTTAGAAACCGAGAGACAGTCCTTACTTGTATCAATGAAGACGGCATCCACGTAGATTTTGGTACACAAAGAGCCCAGGATAAATCCACAGGCTGGTCCGAACACCAGCATTGTGAACAGGATTCCTGAAAAAGAGAGGACACAAAGATTAGATTAAAAACCAGAGGTCTCTCAATGAGCAAAACAGTCAAGGGAGTGGTTTTATTTTTTTTTTTTAATTTATTTTTATTATTTTTAAAATTTTATCTTTATTGTTGCAAGTATTACAGATGTCCCCTCCCCCCTCCGTTGATCTCCTCCAAACTGCACCCATCCAGGCCTCACCACTCTCTTGTCTGTGTCCATGGGTTATGCATTAAGTTCTTCGGTGAGTCTTTCCCCACCCCCTGTCCCCTGCCTTCCCTCTGAGATTTGTCAGCCTCTCAGGAACTATTTTGAATGCCGTGATCAGCAGTGGATCGAGTCCCTGCTCTCCTGAGGGAGGCAGATAGCAAACTTGCCAGTGAACTAACGTGCCAGAGACACAGCTAATGAATGACTAGGTGATCTGTTGGTTTCAGTTCTGAAATGAATCTAGTTCTTCTTTAAGGTTTTTTTGTAAGTCTGATTTTTTCTTATTGAATTTGCTTAAAATAATTGTAATACAGTTTCAAGTGTTTATCTATAAAGTTCAAAGAAATAAGAAAATGCTTTTACTAAAGACGCTAGTTGTCCAGAGACATAGAGTGGTAGCTGGGCACCAAGCTATTTAGTTAAGGGCTACATCCTGAGTCCGTCCTACTGTTCCGTGCGGCCAAGTGACTNGAGCCCTGGCCTGTGCCCTCCTCCTGGCTGCCCATGAACCTCCCGGGCAGCACACTCACTGCTTTTCTCACTCCCACTTGTTCTCCATGCCCCCAATTTATACAAATGTATCCTCCGTCTTCAACCGCGCAGGCTGGAATTTCTCCCCTAAGGAGGAGTGTTCTGCATCACACGTATATGAATAAAACATGACCCATAAACAGCAGAAAGCCTGCAAAACGTGGGATACGTATGTATCCGGTGCCCACTGCCAAGAGCCCGGCAGCATTTAGTCACTGACCTTGCTCATCTCTGAGGGGCAGAGAGAATGAAGAAACTCAACACGGATTACACGCCAGACACGGCACACAACCCGTGTGATAGAATTACCCCCGGCAAAGTGTATAAATGAAACAAAACACTAACGTTGCTAAGGCCACATGGCATGTGCCAGAGTTTCTGTGCCTTTCCACAGTGTCAGGCCTGTCCCCTCCTAAGTCAGCTATATTGCTGGGTCTCAAAGTTGGCTGCACACTGGAATCACTGGGCAACTTAAAAAAATATATTAATGCCTAAGTCTCACCCTCTGAGATCTGCTGTAGCTGGTCTGGGGCACAGCCTGGGCACCAGGATTTTTCCAAGCTCTCCAGGTGATGCCACATGCAGGCAGACTGAGAACCACTGGTCCCTTCCCTTGCTGACCTTGACCAAGGAACCACTTGGTCCCCAAAATGCATCTGGGCATGTGGGAAAAGGGACACGAATGCTATCTGAGGTCAGTCCTGAAAGGCGGAGGGGCAGTTGGAGACTGAGTATGGACAGACCGGGGTCACCGAACACAGGAGCAGAAGTCGCATTGCTCTTGTGCAGCCAGCCAAAGCTGCCCTGTGCGCCACCGCGGCTGTGCACTCAACTACGGGACTCTGCCTGGCACACCTGGCATGGTCCCTGGTGCCGTCTGGTTTCTAGGCCTTACTCACACTGGTCCTCAACCCAGTTTCTCCCTCTACTCCAGGCCCCGGGAAGTACATCAAAGTTCTACCCTCCATTCAAAGGCTGCCTGAAATGCCACCTCCTCCATGGAGCCTTCCTAGATTTCCCCTCTTCTTTCTTCCCCCTCCCTCTTTTGCCACAGCACCTGTCTCAGACTTTTTCCACAGTTCTACCAACAGTCTGCCTGGATGCAAACACGAAGGTTCATGTGTCCCAGCCTGGGGAACTCCAGCTGCGAAACAGGGCAGTGACTTGTCCCGCTTACCTCCTGTTATGGGCTGAATCATGTCACCCCTCCCCCCCAAATCCCTGTGTTGAAACCCTAATGCCCCAGAAGCTCAGAATATGTATTTGGAGATAGGACCTGCATCTGCTCCCTACCTGCCTGCTCCTCTGCCCTCTACTGTCCCCACATCCTGTTTCTGGGGTTACCCTCCTGACACAGCTTCAGGGGGACATGCCTATACCCAGGAGCTGCGAGCCAAGGAGCGAGGCCTCGGGGACACAATCTGCATCTTCAAAGGATTTCAGAAGCAGTGGCCTCAGGGAGACAGCAGAGGCCAGGCCCTGCCCAGCAGGTGAAGCTCCCACAGGTCACTTCTTAGTTCTCACTGTCATTCACCCGAGGACTCAGGCGGTCACCCGAGGTGACCCAACTCTGTCTTCGCTGCTCAGGACTGAAGGCCCTATGGATGCCACAGAGAAGTTAGGTTACCGTCCTACGGCCCCACAGCTGGATGGCACGTCAGGTCCTGCGGGCCCCAATCCTGCACTTCCTCCAACTCGCCATTTGGCAGGAGGAGACGGCTGCAGAAAGGCTGTGGGCCGTGGAAACCTTCTGGTAAGTTCTGAAGGAGCCGGTGTCTGCAGGGTGCTGAGGCCCCGCCCTGAGGTTTAGCCCGCCTGTCACTTGGAAACCGAGTGGCCTGGAGGAGACCCGACTGATTCAAGCACATGCACACATAACCATGGGGGACCCTGCCCGTGCTCAGCGTGGAGGGGCCTCTGGGCCTCAGTTTACCCTTAGTTTACCCAACGAGCCTGCGGCCCACCGTCGGTGGAAATGGGAGCCCGCTGAGGCATTTCCTCCTGTCGGCCGCCAGAGGGCGCCAGGCACCGCCTCACGCCAGGCACTGCTAATCCTCAGGCGGTGCCAGGTTTGCAGCTCAAGGTGGGAGGGTACCGAGGAGGCCTCACCTGCAGGGGGCACAGTGGCAAATGACCTGACAGATCTGTGGTCACTGCTAAAGGTCTTCATGCTACGTCCGGCAAGAAAACGACCACATCCGAAACGCCTGGGCCTTTGAAATCATAATGGGTTATCCCACCCACCCACCGTGCCTCGATCCCCCACAACCGGTATGGTCTGTACTTGACCGATCTTCCTAAAATATTGTGCAATCGTACACNTGCCCTACTTTATAAAACAAAGTCCAAACTTCGGCCTGGCAGTGGCCTGGGTAGGGGCAGGGCCGCAATGCCAGGCTGCAGGAGCATGGACGCGGGCTGGGTGGGCTAGCCTGAGGCAGCCCGGGCAGGGCCTGGCCCAGAGCCTCCCGCTGAGTGCACTGCAGGGTGGGGCTGGCCAGGCCACCAAGTACGCACATCAACAGCAAGCGCCCTGTTCGAGGTGAGCACAGCGTCATCATCAGCATTGGCCAGGCAGGGGTGGCTAGTGACATCCCTGGGCATGGCCATCGGCCTACCAGTGTGGCGTCAGGCCCAGGCCCTGACCACCGGGAGGCCCTCCGCATGACCCAATGGGCAGAGGCCAGGCTGCCATGCAGGGGGACAGGGTGGGGATCGGAAGAGGCAGACATCCCACCATGAAAACGGTGTCCCACACCCAGGAGAAGTGACAGTGAAGCCCCGAAACGCCCCAGAATTAAGAGTTTCCTTTCAAGAAAGGGTCCCAGAGCCACATGTTGGAAAGTCACTCCCTCTACTGGGCCACCTCCCCTGGGTCTGCTGTTAAGTCTGTAACAAGAATTCAGAAAACAACTGTTGAACAAAGGGGGGGGTAGACAATGGGTTGAGCCCCATCTCCTAAACATATAATTCAGAATCTGGGGGTGCGGGGGGTGCTTTGCTTATTGGGCAGAGACCTTCTCGGTTCTTGCAAAATAGCCTGCACTGTGCACCATCCAAGCTCTTTTGGAACCTGCTAGAATCCACAGGGGAATGAAAACACAGACTAGCGGCGGCCTTGTTACCCAGGCATCCCCCACAGTGCGCCTCCTAGCAAAGGACCGGTGAGGGCCACTGTGCCCTCAGTGACAGCGGAGACAGACGGCTCCCAGCTCAGAGACTCACTAGGGTCCGGGGCAGGTCGTTCAGTGGGAAGAGTAAGAGCTCGGCACGTCCGGGCCCCCCAATCACGACGAAGGCACTTGTCTGTTGGGAATGACCCTACAGATGGCCTGTCACCATAAACTCTTCGCCACAGAGTGGTCGGTCGGAGTCTGCAGAGGTGACCTGGCTCCTCATTTCACAGGTGGGGACACCAAGAGCCCGAGAGGTGAAGGCACATGCCCCCAGGTGTCACAGCTGAAGAACGAAGACCAGAAGGGAGGCCACAGCCGCTCAGGGACCCGCTGCCGTCACAGCGCCTGGCGCTTCCACCCACCCAGGCGGGTCAGCATCGTCCGCCGGGAGAGCGCCCTGTGTCACCGATCATTTTGTAAACTCTGATGCCACAGGACCATTATTCCGAGACAGGTGACACTAAGCTTCAAACGGCTCTGTCTCTGACGTGCATTTTTAAAAAGGCTCGAAATGCATCTGTTCCTGAGCCCCAGTTCCTCCCTGGGCAGCAGGGGCCCCACGCTGTCCCCTCAATACCTTCCGTCTGCTCCACTGCACTGAACGGGGGGCCTGGGGTTCTTCCCGAGGGCGAGGCCACCCGGAGGCGCGTGAGGCTCGGCTGCTCCTTAACCCGGTGCCATCAGCCTGCATGGAGACCAAGCAACTGAGCCCCAGGCTGAGCCACCTCCTAAGGGCACCGATGCTGAGCAGGGGACTTTTGGAACCAGAGCCCCGTGCTCTCCCGCTCCCCTCCGCCTCCGGGACGACGGCTCGCTCGCAGGAGCTGCTTCTGCAGGGGCCCGACGCCCAGCGGCGCGAGCACGTTTCCACCAGGCCCTGACCTTCCCGGGTTCTACTCTGGGGAGCCCCCAGTTTGCCTCCTTTACAAATTTCCCCTTTACTTTCTTCTTATAAAAGCTGCTGTCACAAAACAGTGGTCTCGACTATTTTACATTTTATTTTTTGCCCCCTTGGGGAGGGCAAGGCAAGGAGGGAACCGAGACAGAGGGTTGATGTCACCTGGGTGGGCATTCGGCCACCTCTC